TTCCCTCTTCGCTTTTGCTTTTGCTTTTGCTTTGCTTGCCTTGGTTCGCTCGCTGATTTCTGCGAACCGACTATACCTCTACCCGTGTACGCTAGTACTACTACTACTCGCGAATCTACCTCTCGCTTCTCGATTCCTCGACGCGAAAGACCGTTTTCTAACCCCGCGAACTAACGAGTATAGTAGCGCGCGATCCCCATACCCGGATTATTACGGAGACGCGAGTGCTTGAATGAAGGAAGTTTCGATTTACGGAAAATTGCGAAGCCTCGCAGTATTATTTATTTATATATGAGAAGAAAGAGCCATTAGTAATGCATAACGCGTGACAATTATAAGATAAGAAATGAGGATGAGTTTTCTTTTTAAGAATTCTGACGAATCCAAACGCGGATTCGAGGATTTTCATATTTCGTATCATTTCTAAATCTCTTGTCCTCTCGAAACATTTTGTTCCGCTTTCTTCGTTTTTCAGTGGACTTTCGCTTACGGTAACACGCCTCTTCCTGTTATCATTCTCATTCCCTGTCGCGCTAATTTTCCTTTTACCGTAGGTACGTACACCGAGTTCTGTACGCGCGCTTCGATTCTTTCTATTTTGCCATCCACTCATGTTCTGACTCGCATTTTCCGTTTTTCTCAATCTCTTCCCGTTCGTTCTAATCGTAGGTTCATCCACGGACTAGGTCCCAACACGGTTAGGCTCTCGATAATCCAGTCTTTTTACTATAGTAACTCGTCAATCGTACGTGTGTTAGTTCACTTCTTATCATCTACCAATTTTTATTCTTCGTCTCGATTCATCCTGTTAAGCGATTTCTCGTCGTAAACATCCTCATGACTGATTTATGCTACTTCTATTCCCGTTCTTTCGCGTTCTTCGGGATTCTCTAGTTTCTAGTATCTCTATTCCTATTGTTTCTTTCGTTGCTTCCAATTAAGAGACGTTCGTCCATCGACGGATTGATTCTAATTTTTCCATTTATTTTAATAGGCAACGATAGCAATGCTAGTCAAGTTCAACCCGTATCTTAACCCCGATAAGCGACGTAGTCTGCGCTAATTGTAAGTTGGAACGCGAAATTAATTGCTGCGATCGTCGCCTTTGTTGTCGTTTCGTCGCAGTTTTACGGCACACATATTTCTTGTTATTTACGAATGGAACGGGGGTCTCGATTTCCCGCTAATCGCTGTTTTACGTTCCACCGCGTATTTAAGTATACTTACCTATACGAACCAAGCTTTCTTGTACCGTTGCTTTACGGCTTTGTGTCACGTATCGAACCGACGACTTTATCAATCGCTACCTTTACAACTTAGCCCGGCTACTCTCGAAGGCGTTTCTTCTCGGTTTCGAAATATGCATGAAACGTCGTCCGTGAAAAGATGGATGTATCGTGGCGATTTTCAGGAAATTCATAGAATCTGGATTGTCTCGTACAAAGGGTTGCTCGTTGGCGTGCCGCCCGATTCGTCTAGCTATCGATTGCGAGAGAGAAAAACTCGAGTGGTATATGATAAATCGGAATGGCTGACAGGCTCGTGACATTCGTCTCTCTTTTCTCCTTTATTCTTCCCTTGCCCTTGCTCTTCCCCAATAAGGGTGGCCCTTACCGAATGTCCCCACAGAGACGATCTCGTGGACCTCCTGGAACGCGTTATGAAGGCAGCAAGGGAAAAACCGTAGCTATTGTGCTTTCTCGACCAACCAAAAAACTTCGCCAACCAAAATCTCTCGAAACTCCCTCTGCGCGCTGCTCCGCCCATCTCGTTACGTATTTCGATCGTCGTCGAGATTCTCTCGTGAGCAACTAAATATTTCCCAAATAAAAATATTGAAATTAACAAAGAAATTGTTGCAAACGATACTCGGATCGATCGGATTCGCTGTTGCGTTTAAAACTAGGGAAGGGATGGAAACATTTTTTCATAGAGATATTTTTGTAGGGTTGAAAAGAAGATATCGCGATTTAATCGAGTCGATCGAAACGTCAAAAAGTCCCGTCGCGGTCGTATCGATAACGTCAGAATTATCAGATTTGAAATCAGCTGATGAAATTATTGAGAACTTCGACAATCGGTAACTTGAACACGAAGAGAGAGCGAAAGGTATGGGTACCGTTTCGCGTTTGCGTGTCCCGGTGTAATAAGCATCAACCCCGAGCGACTTCTCGGACGGCGTTATTAATTCGATTATAATGAGCTATTAAGCGAAACGCTGGTAATCCCGACAAGCTCCCGTTCAACGGGACTAGGCTTAAGCCGCTCTTGAGAACCCGACCCCGTTCGCTGTTAAGCAAATTACCAGAGGGTGGAAAACCCTCGTCGAGATCTCGCGCGTATCGTTCTTCACGACACCCCGGTTTCAATTTTCGAACCGCTACCCGCTTCCGGGACATCTTCATCGGGGATGATCTTTTCTTTTTCTCGAAGCGGACCGCAAACGAATTTCTTTCGTCGCACTGACGACGCAACACGATGCCGCGTCCCATTAAAATACACGTTTACAAGATATTCTCGTTTTAAGTGGTTATATCTAGATAAGTTTTTCCTTAAATGCCGATTAATTAATGTTAAACAAATATAGAGCCGACACGCTGTGTTTGCTGTCAGTTTAATTAATTAAACTTGGAATTCCTTGGTCTATATTACAGTTTATGTAATACGGAAACCGGCGTTTAACGTTCTTCGTGGAAAAAGCCTTCGCACGTTCATCGCGATTACTCCAACTGGGCGGAGAAATCGACTTTAATTAATCGTAATTCGATTTTGCATAACGGGAATCGACTTGTTTATTCATTTTTTACTCGGTTCTCCAACGTTCTCCAATGGGGATTCTACCATTCTCTTTTTTTTTGTTCGATCGTAAACTAAAAATCGCCTCCGCATTTTTTTATCGATCATCGTTGTCAGGATTGCGATTAGGTGCACTTATGCAAATCGGTGGGCGTTTAGCAACGCGTATGAGCGTGACCCGATCTTGTCCGTAAAAAAATAGTTTGTCACTCGCGTTCTCTTTTGGCCTCTCATAAGGGCAGTCGATTACGCAATTTTTACTATCGCCATCGCTACCGATTCCTTCGTTTCTACTTCGTTCAATATTATAACCGTAAAGTAATTTCGATGAATTACGTGAAACGACTCTCACACTCTACGAAAAACAGATAGAAAGCGGGTACACCTGTATCATCGTTTTCTAATTAAACGCGATACCGGTTATCGCGTCGACGTGGCGCGCGTCTCGTGATAATCATCGGAGTGCAAGAATTTCGTTCTTAACGGCGAATCTTATCGGGGCTTCCCAATATTTTTTCTTGTCCACCTATCGAGTCCAACTGTTCGACAACGCGCGATAAATCGTCGTCGCGTATCTTTTTCTATTCGTACCCATTCTTTATATTTGTAAATACATAAATCAGAGGATTCGAGTCTGGATCAGTAACAGAGTACGCAACAAGAGTGATAATTTAATTTTTTATTGTAATTTGTCAAGAACCTCAGGCAACCGATAATTCTAAGTAGCTCGTTGTACAACAACAAAATTTCAAGATCATACGATCATCAAAGATCAAGTTACATAAAACTGGCAACTGTACTTCGGTCATTAGAAATTATTCTCTGATCTTCGATCGCTTGCTTCGCTTATTACGACGTATGATGTTTTTCCGGTCGGAGTAAAAAGTTCTGTATGAAAGTCTCGATGAAACTTCTAAGTAAATCGTCGACAGGTATCTTAAGGTTGTCCACGGGGCCAATTCGTTGGAACAGTCGAGCATTAATTTGTATAGGCGAGAAAGATAGTGTTCGCGAGCGGTTGATTTATGGTCGCCGGTGGACGATATTGTCGTAAAAGCTCCCGGGGTATCTTCCGTTACAGCGCGGTGCTTTCGTGTGCACAATCTTATCATCCACGTTTACGAGTGTCGCATAGGCGTAAATACGTGACCGTTTAACTCAGTCGGGGACGATATAAATACCGATAAATTTTTGTCTATCTCGGGAGAGACTCGTTATCAGGCCGGTTCTATCCAATCTTGATTTCTACCTGGCAGACAGCGATATCCCTTGTACTCGGTTGTTTTCTCTTCGCGCAGAAACATTGTTTGAACTTCGGTTTACCCGGTTTACTCGTTGCCGGGATTAAAATATTTTCGGACCGGATAAAATTGGCGATTATTCGGGAACGGATAAACGTCCGTTACCGCGATAGCTCGCGTCGCAATGGGATTAATCGCTATCGGTTCCGAAGCACGGGCAAGATCAATGACGTCCGTCGAACCGGAATTACGCGTCGCGTTTTATTAATCTCGTTAGGTTGATAGTTTGCGTCTCGAAGGCGGTAGGTCGTCGGCCAACGAACTACGTCACACTTCGGTTGTCCGTCAATCTTAATCGAATTCGCCACCCAGGCGATCGTCCAGAGGGGATCGGCGACGGCCATTCGGTATGCGTGAAACTTATGTAAAGAGTTGTCAACGAGCGACAATTGGGTCGTGTCGCGACATTTAAATAAACTGTCGCTTTACGAATTGAGAACGCGCTGACTAAGCGTGGACAAAAATGGCGGAGAAACTCATGAAACGAAAAATTCGAGTTTCCCTCGATCGTCCTATTTTGACGCAAACATCCTAGATTGTACTCTAATTGAATCTACAATGGTTTCTATGTGAAATCGATGAAACCATCCCGGAGCTTCACAAATTATGTTGTGCCTATTGGATGAAATTTTTTAAGAAGAATCAGTCTACGTTACTACTCGCTAACGACATGAACGAAGTTGTCTAAGAATAGAAGGTAGCATTTTCGGAAGGATTCCCGGTCGTCCACCGATTCTCAAGTAGATAAGGATCGAAAGAGCGGACAGACGCAAACTTCCTACTCAAAAATGTTCATCGACCGAAGCTAAAGTAATTCTAATCGTCTTTACGAAGTACCCATCTACCGAACGATATCTTGAATAGGGAATAAATAATTAAAATGGAACACGCGTATGTACGTACCGACGGGCTTGGGAACGTTTCTCTTCACCTGCATCCACTTGTACGTGGGCACGTGAGGTTGCTGCTGTTGCTGCTGCGACGGTCCGTGATGCCCATGAGGATGCTGCTGCTGTTGCTGCTGCTGCTGCTGCTGTTGAAGATGATGGTGGTGATGATGATGATGTTGATGAGGATGTTGAGGATGGACCGACTGTTGCAACGCGTGATAAGTTGTCAGGTCCGGATTCTCTTCCTTGTAATGACCGGTGGAATGTCCTGCGTAATCGTTCTGTCGGATCTGTGCGTGATAGTGAATCGAGTCATCCGTGGCGGGTAGCTGATGAAGATAGTTGGTACCGGCGACCGGAAGCTGGTAGTCTGCCGGCTCGTGGCGATGATGGTGATGGTGATGACTAGAAGACTGATGATGCAACTGTTGCTCGTGCTCCGTTCTCGAATGATGGACCATCGATCCTTGACGAAGATCGTTTCCCGAAGTTGAAGCCTGATGATGCCGATGGGGATGATGATCGTCCCTGTAGCTCGCTTGCTGGACGTGGTAACTCTGGTGAGGATCCATAGATCCGTGGCTCCCGTTCGCATGCTGTTGCTGCTGTTGCTGACCCGCGTACGAAGAGGACGCGTAATCAAGATTTGTGTAGCTCAATCCGTTCTCCGAGGAGATGATCGCGGTAGTAGAACTGTCCTCGTTTATCACGCTCGCCGTCGGTGAATAAAAACCCTGCGGAGGCGTAACGGAGGACGCGGCCGATTCCGCGGCTAGAAAGCTCTCCGTAGAAGAGGAAGAGTACGGCGACACCGCCGCCGTTTGAGGAAAATAGTGGACCGGAGCGAGCTCCGGAGAAGCCGGAACGGCGGGCACGTGTCCACCAACGGACACGGGTTGATGATGATGGTGATGATTCCCTTGACCCGTGCACGCGTAATTCGGATATGACTCAGACTTGGCATAAGTTCCGTACATGCCCATGTCCATCATCATCATTCTCGTCGCGGCGGCGGTGGCGGCGGCGGCGAGGCGAATGCATCAACCGGCCACCTGCTGCTGGCTGACCGTCAGCCGTTTTCTTCCCGCGGCGAGACCGCTTTTCGCGAAAGGAAACCAAGGGACAGGAACAATTGAATCATGCAGTTTACATCGTATCGAATCGCTATCGGTGCTCCATCCGACGATTCCTGGAAGAAGAGTCCCGCGAAGATCGTAACACAAATTCTCACGAGTCGACGACTCACTTATTCTCTATCGGCACTGCACCATCGAACACGATTCAACCGACTGACGGATTATCCGGGTATTCGATTGCTGTGCGAGTCGGGGTAAAAACGCGCGAAAGATACCCGAGGCAGGTTCCCGTCACGCGAGTAGACGCGGGTTGCTCGCGCGAGTCAAGCGTTCCGTGCGCAAATAGCGGAGGCGCGTAGCCGTCGATCCGGTCGATCAGGGTCCCCGAAGTTGACTGGCTAGGTGTGGACTGGTCCGATGGAAGGCGGTGGACGGTGGACGGTCGAAGGCTTGCACGCAGGTGAGCAGCCGCAGGGGTCTCCATCGTCCAGGTCTTCGCCTTTCTCTTGCACCCTACAACTCCGTTCCCTTTCTCTCTTTCTCTCTCTCTATTTCTCTCCCTTTGGTGCTACGGAGGGCAAAGGGTGCTGCCTTCTCGAAACGAGGCGTGTCCCTGATATCACCCACGTGATCGTTTCTGGGTGGAGTCAGCCAATCGACGAGGAGTCTGCGCGTCCGGTGTCCGTAGCCTCATGATGGATCACCGCGGATAAATTTTATTTTTCCTACGGTCTTTTTATCTGGCACGCTGCAGTTGACACTTATCGCGACTGGTAGAGGTAGCCGAGTATTATATCTCGGAGCCCACCTTCTTCCTCGGAGGCGAAGCCTCTTCTTCCATCCCGGTTCCCCTACCGAACCGCGTTACTTATACTCACGCTCGCGTTTCTTCTCTTTCATTTTTCGCGACCGGTCCTTCTTCCGCGTATACGCGCGTGTCCCACCTGTCCACCGGAGACGGGAGACACGCCGATGTCTCCGCGCACTTTCATTAACGCCTGACGGCTGATGGGTTAATTACGGCCAGCGAGATCTACAGATACGCGCCGCCGCCGACGCCGTGAAAGTCGCGTTCCACGTTCTACCGTTCCACGCCCGAAATTAGCTCACATTCGGATTCCTGTAATTTTCAATTTCGTTTCTACGCGACAGGAGATTCCGTTCGATCGAGTTTGATCGTAACAAAGATTTCGATTCTACTTGTCTTTCAACAACGATCGCGAGTACCGTGCAAACGTAATCATTGCTCTCTCGGATGTCTCGGAACATTACGCAATGGCGAATCGACGATCGAGGAGTCAGAATCGACGGAGGGAGAAAGAGGAACCAGGAGAATGAAGCGAAAGAAGAGAACGGGACGTGTGACGGGCCCGTGGGACGTCTGCATAGATACCCCATGCGGGTTCAGTGACAGGATGACACATTCCGCCGTGAAAGTTTTAGGCGAGCCGGAATCCCGTATCAGCGGTTCGGTCAGAAGAGCTTATATCCAGGGCGCCACCTGCGGCCACCCGCGACATCCGTTCCGTTCTGTCCCGCGTACATCTCGATCAGGAAATCTTCATCTCGATCGGAGATACGTAGCACGTACTTCCACGACGTTCCGTAGTTTTGATTCTCACCGGTCCGGCTTTGCGTCGGTCGAATCTCTTTCACGCCGAACGCCCTCGCACACCGTGTGTTCTCTTCCTCTCGATTTCCGTTTAAACACCGTCACATACCGATTTCGTGCTTTTGAGAATCGCGAGAAATGTGTCTAGCAAGATTTAGGATTTCCGTTCATCGCACTGTTTCGAGAATCAATCTTTTAATCGCAATGTCGATTGTAATTTTTTACTCGATGAATTCTCGTGTTTTTATTCCAAACGAACAACGTACACTGTCGACCGGACTGGCTACACGAAATCCTTGACTTCGACGATTGTTCGTCGACGAACCGTGTAATTCCCAATTGACTTTTGACGGCGTTCCCAGGATAAGTCGGGTAAATTCGAATTTAGCCGAGTCTAATGTCGGGATAACTATCGGCGAGCCAACCACCCTGTACCATTCGGACACGCGTAAACTCGACGAGCTCCGCGGCTAATCCTCTTAAACAATTACAAAACCAGTCGATCGGTCTGGTACTACCTAGAGCGCGTATCTCTTCTCTGGCGCCACGCTGCGTTTTGACGTAGGACGAGGCACCTGCATTGTCATGCTAAGCCGCTGGTCGCCTTCGCACCGCTGCAGTTCCCTTTTATCCGCGACCAACAGTGTTCCCATCCTCCACCTCTGACTCTGACTTCGAGACGCGAAGTTTCGTTCGTGAAGTTTTCGAAGTCGTGCCAAACGTGCCTCTCTCTCCCTTTTGCTGTTGAATCGTAGAATCGACGGAATCGAAATTTTTGAATTTAATCCAGAGCCGAAATGATTTACGCGATGGGAAAGCGTTTGAAAAATATGCATATGTATATTCTGTATATTCCTCCGTGTTTCGAAGCAAATAATCAAGTAGATAAACCGCGTATTAACTCAACGCGCGTGAATAGCATGATATCGAGGCGAGCACCCAAACGTTCGATACCTCTCACCCGAGAACCCTTCGAACCGGCTACCGTTCTCGCGCGAACCTGTTCATTTCGAACGTCTCGTTTAGAGTTACGGCTTAAACGAAGATCCTTTTGTCCGTCAAACGTCTGCAGTCATAACAATCCGGCGGGTGGTTGCCGATGGACGGACAGCTGTCCATTCGAACGAGACGAACGTTTTCCGTCGCGGAGTTTGTCTGTGTAAAGACGAGATAGTTGGCTATTATTCGGTGAATCGTCTTTATCCTAACAATAAGTTGACCGAAGATGTTGGGAAACCGCACGGGATAAAAGGCACGAAAGACTTCTCGATGGGCGGAATTCCTGACGAGAGACGGTGCATCTCTAGAGAAATAGAGTTCTCGCGCCTCTTCCCGCTCCGCCTATTATAACTCCTAGAGAAGTCTCCGAGTTTAGATCCGTTGTTTGCCTCCTATTTCACGCGCGTAACCTACTCTGGATATCTTACAGTGGAAATATTTTATTTCAAGGATCGACCCGATGATTTTATCAAACTGGAACGTGTTGATCATTATTTCATCCGATAAGAGAAAGGATTTCTACTGAAGATAGCAGATACAAGTTTTAATAATTCATAGAAAACTGACAAGTTGTTGAATTTAAATCTTTCGCCTCAACTTTCTCGAACTCGTTTTCCCGAAAAGCGGGATCTCGCCGAATCTGTGGTCGCTGAGAAACGAGCCGACGGAACTACGAAATCCGGGGACACGCGCAACTATCGGATCGTAACGGGGTTGAAATCACGAACCGATCGATCTTCCGGCCCGAATTTTCCATAATTCCGGCCATTTTGAAAATGGCACAGCTCGAGGTTTTTGTATGCCGCGTCGCGTCGTACCGTACCTACCGTTCGCAACGAAATCGTAGCGGAGACATGGGAAAACCCGCACAATAGAGTCATCGATCATTCGGGTATGATAGTTGCTCGATTGCCGCTGCCCTAGCCTCGGAAACGCGAGCGAGTAATCGAGTAGTATTTGCCGAGATATGTACTTCGTCGAATGCCCGTTGCATCCATACGTCCCTCCTCTCCTCTCTTTCTCGCTCCGTCCCCGAAATAATGAGCGAGTAGTCGATATATGTTGCTTCGCGCGAAGATGATTAAATTTAATTTGAAATTAGGAATTCGTGCTGTGATATCCAGTCATCTACTCGTGTCATTATTAACTCGTACATACGAGCTAACGATGAAAAGATTTACGTAAAACCCCGACGTAAAGAGGGCATGTATTAGGCAGGGAAACGTGTAATAAAAGGGCGTCGCGATACGTGGAAAGGAAAGTCGGGTGCGAGGAAAGCTTTCGATCGAGGAATGACTGTGCACTCGATCTGCCGTTTCATTCGACCTGACTCACGGACCGCGCGCTAGATCGTATCGTCATAAATATTGAATAAATGTAATTAGCCATCGGGGCTGGCGGAATAGTGCGTGCAAACGGTAGCCAATGTTCGGGGTAAGCGCGATCCGGATCGGATTAGAGTTCTTACGCGGCCGAATGCTTTTCAATTCGTAAATTGCTCTTTCGAGATCGAAGATAGCTCGAATAGCTACTCGAAGTAGCTGTTTGAAAGAGAAAGCTCGCGCCCTGTTCTCGTTGCTCGTTCCGCGAGTGAATTTTGCGTGCAAACGCCAACTTGACAGCCGCGGCAGTGAATAAAGGCAAAGAACAAAGCTCGATACTTTTTACAAGCTTGAAGTGTTTTCAGAAGTCATCCGGCTCGAAATACTCGATGGCTTCGAATTCGTCCTATCGAATTTAAAGATGTATTGGCTATCAGTCAATCCCAAAAGTTTATGTACCTTAGAAAAACGCATTTCCTATAATTAAAAAGAAATCAAACGTCGGAAGAACAATGCTAATAATAGATAGCTATGTGCGTAAAAGTATAGAAGGAAATATTCAATTAATTATTGTCGCTGGCGGAAAGCTTTTTATACAGAAATTATAAGCCCTGACGTCCTCAACAAGAAAGATTCTATGAATTTTTCTTCTAACTCGGGTATTTAACAAGTTACATATGATTATTTGGCATTTTATTGATGTTGACAAAATCCGACCATTCCAGCCTCGAAACTGCGAGCTTTTGGAAAAAAATTTCGTTTTTCCTTAATAACTTCTAAACCGTTGAATCTACGAAAAAAATGTATAGAACCTTTCTTGTAGAGGACGACGAGATCTACAATTTCCATGTAAAA